TTTCGAATTTCATAATCAATTACATAGGGAAGTTTGTTCCTATAATTTTTCAAAATTGTAAAGTTAATTATATAATGAGGTAAAGAGGGCAAATTTACATTATATGTGGCAATTCTGTAATTTTCAAATTCCATTGAGTCAATTATATCAAAAGGTTTATCTTATATGTGGCATTTTAATAATTTTCAAATACCATAGAGGCAATTAGAGAGAGAGAATTGAGAGTGAGAGAGAGAGAGAGAGAGAGTAAGGAGAGAAGGGAGAGAGAAACACACCTCAAAAATTTAGAATTTGGCTGTCTAGACAATGACATACCATGTTTTGACCTCTAATAAATTTAAGATCTATGTATCTTTTAGTTTGAGAATAATAAAGGAAAAGAAATAAGAGTGAAAGGTTAGAAGGATGAAAAGAGAAGAAGGAATAGAATATAACAGTAATTACATCAAGCATATAACATAAAGTAAATTGACTAAACAACCCTTTTACAGCCAACTCTAACAACCTCTAAATGTTACCCATACACCTTCCCAATGCTTTAAGTATATATTTATTGATATCAATTTAAAGAAAATCATTGTTATTACAATAAAAGGGTTATTGAAAGAGAGATTATTGGAAATTAGAACAAAAATATTAGGGGCATTATTTGGTATTGGGATCATACACTAACACAGCTAATACATATTTCATATATAAGTTGGTAGGATTATTGCTTTATTGCAACAGAGACCTAGAATCAAATCCCATTACGGGTTGGGGCTGGTATTATGGGAGATGGGCTGCCCCCCTTCCTGTACAGCCCCATTAAAAAACGAAAAAGAAAAAAAAAAGCAGATCTACCCAATCCTCTAAGAGTGACAAACCGAACACAAATCAAACTTCCTATGCTCGTAAAACACTGGACCGTTGTGTGCCCATTTTCACTTGAAGAAACATCAATGGTACCAATGTCATGACTTACGATTGAGCTATCCCAATAACAAATATACACATATGCTCAATTTAATTGGCAGAATTCATGTGAATTATTATTATGATCCACAACCTTAACCTATAATCACTACAAGAAAATTGGTCTAAAACTGGTGGCTTACATCTAAGGCAGTGGTCGTATGTCTACCATCTAATTGATTGTTGCCTTAGATCAAGGCCACCACCTTTTATAGTTGGTCCAAGGTGGCTCAAAATTTCCAAGAGCAGTAGTTTTGTCAGGACTGTGTGGCTTAGCTTGATTAAGGCGCCAGTCCATAGGTCCTATGTAACCATTGCCTTTGGTCTTGTTACCAGTTTTTATATATAAATGTTGCAGACCAAGTCAGCGATCACTGTCTATATATATATATATATATATGTTTATTTATGTATGTATGTATTTTGCACATTTACAAGCGGTCATGGTTTGACCCATTTAATCCTTTTTATATAACCTAAGATCATATCTCCATATTTGCCGTTGCCATCATTTAGTAAAGAAGCCCAAATAATCCAAAATAGTTTAATCCGCTAAGAATGAAAACTTATAAATCTTATGAGAACAGAGAACCAAATTTACCTTTCAAATTTTAGAGTTGCTTTAAAATAAAAACAATTTAAAGAACTTTTCTTACCTCATTGTTGACACACCTCATGCCGCACCAAACTGTTCATTCTTCCTTACAGGCTTGAGGCTAAAATGCTAACAAACTAGACATATATGCTAGGGAAATATTCAACAGACATGTTCAATGGGCATATACAATAAATGTTGTTTGAGTCATGAAACTAGGGACCAATTGGTATCATCTGAGATGGCTGAAGTGACCAACTTATTGCTTTGCTTTCAATGAATAAAAATAAATTAAATGATGAAATATTCAGGGCTTAGTAATGAACTCAACTTCAGATTATCTATTAAGGTGCTTGTAATCTCCTCCATAACCTATTATTCACTAGAAGATAAAAGCAATAAATCATAAGGATGATGGAGCTGGTCAACAAAGATTCCATTTGGAAATCTTTAGGGGAGTATTCATTTTTTTTAGATTTATGTGGAGATCGGAGAAAGTTTATTTTCTTGGGTAAGTGATACCCATTTTCCAGGTGGATAAATAATTTTCCCACCTGGGGGAAAGTTGCAAACACTTGGATGGGACAAAAATTCCCCTTTTAATAATGGATTTTTATGGCTAAAACTATCATTGTTTTATTTATCTGAGAAATAAAAGAACATGGGTAAATGCACTTACCCGGATAATTAACTTACCAAAAAGCGAATGAGGCCTAAAAGATAACAGATTAACAAGTGTATTACAAATTGAATCTTATCTCACATTCAAGAAACAGAATGAAACTATAAAGAATTCCATTTAGATATAATATACATCCTCATTGGTTCATAGATCACCTCAACCTTCTTTTGCATTTGCTTCCAACATCAATGATTGGGGATTACCTAAATGGATCCCCATGTTCAGATGCAATGCCTTGGGAATCCTTCTGAACATTAAGCTCTTTGGATCACTCCTCAAGTCAATGTTTTTCTCTCAATTCTGATCTTTGTAAGCTAGCTTCATATATATACAACTTGATAGCCCATGCAAGCAGAGAATAGCACTTCACATTTCTCCTCATAGTTAGCTATCTATTCATAAGCTATATAAGGGAAGGAGCCACAATTCTTTTCTTTTTATATATGATAATATTTTTGTAAACAATCAGGGAGGCTCAAGCAAAAGAGCATGTTTTTGAGTTTGAGAGTGGACACTTTCTTCCAAGACCCCATGTATAGCCCAAAATATAAGGTTGGGTCCATATATAGCCCACCCCTTACAAGACCCCATAGATAGTAGGCTAGCACCAACATTGGGTAATGACCTTTTGGTTAAGTAGGAAATTATCATTTTCAGCCATGTTTATAATGCAATTAAATGGAGATATTTAAACATTTACAGTAATTCTTTTTTATAAATCATTCATCTACCATACATGCATATGTAATTATGCATAAGGAAGCACTCATAATTTCCATTATATATAACCATCATCCACTCTACCAGCCTTGGACCTTCCCAAACACACCTCTCAAACTTGTTATTATCCCATTCCTCTTCTACAAACTCAAGAAAAATGTCTCTTGCTTCAAATCTGTAAATAGCTCTTCCCATTCTCCATTCACAAGGAATCTGTCTTAGTCTTCTTAGTTCTTAGTATTGGAGGTTCTTGTTCACTAGACCAGGTAAAAATAAAAGCCACCAGTATTCATTTCTTTTGATAAAATCTCTAAATCTTTTCATTGCATTTGTCACCCTCCTATCCCTTCCCCCTTTCAACTCAACCAACTTTCTTGAAATGTTAGTCTTAGTTTGAAAGCAGTACAAATGCAAATATGTACAGCATAAATACATACAAAATATAAGGTTTTGCACTTTACGTATTTGCATTTGTACTCCTTCCAAAACTCAACCTTAAGGGTCTGTTTGATTGCTGAGAAAATTGGACTAAGAAAGGATGGGATGAAAAGAGGAAAATTTATTTTCTCAGTTAGTTATAATGTGTTTGTTTGCTGAGAAAATTTTTGTGAGAAAACCCACTTTCTAGTGTTTGTTTTGCAAGAAAATTTATAGGAGAAAATGGTTGAGCTTCCAGCCATTGAGGGGAAAAACATGGGGTTGGGGAAGAAGGAACCATGGACCAAAAAACAACAAAAAGGGTAGAACAGGACTGCTAGAGAGAGAGATTCATGGATCTTGGAATGTCTGAAGAAGAAGGTAAAGAGTGCAACCGCATCGTCAAAGCGCTTGGCGCGGTACATGGCATCTATGACAGCATTGCAAGTGAAGACGGTGGGGCGGGCTGTGGTGGAGGCGCCGTCGAGGTCGCCAGAGCGGATGAGTGATTGGACTTGGTTGTGGAGATTAAGGCGAGGGCCAACAAGTGCCGAAGTGGAGTCCGGAAGGCGGGGAGCATTAGAATCGGGACGCGGGCGTGGTGCGTTAGGGTCTCGGCAGAGGGCGTGTAGTGGGGGTTCAATACGGAGGTGGCGCTTCCGGCGGTGACGCTCAGCAGCAGCCTCCTCCACTGAGGAGTAGGCGAATGAGCGAACAGAGAGGAGGTTATGGTTGAGATGCTGGAGGAGGATGTGGTGATGATCGGCGGCGGTGGTGGAGGTGCTGATAATAGGAAGAAGATGGTTAGTGGTGGAGAGAAAGAGGAGATGATCGACTTCTTGCTCTGATAAAGCCCGAGCAATTTTCTTAGCGTTTTCTTTTCTCACCAAGGTCACACTGTTTTGGTGCGACCCCGCTCACTTAATTTTGGGATCCCGCGTCCCTCTTGTTTCTCATCCCAAAATACTGTTTACCAACAAACAAACACAAGAAAGGAAGAATCATTCGGGAATATTCCCTTTTCTCATCCCTTTCTCAGTAAACAAACAGAGCCTAAAGTCACCCCCTAACACCCAGGTTTCACCCCCGCCTCGTGAACACCTTCCAACTCTTCTCCCAAATCTAGTCTTCCATTTCACTATCCGAATTAATTCAGCCCATAAACGTCCGATACCAGCAGCACTGCATACCATCAGCTAAGGTATCATGGGCAGAGACTCCCAAAACAGCCCAGGCTGTTTTCTTAAAACAGCAAAGTGAACTCAATTCAGCTAAACTTGATTCGTTAGTATCTCAAGGCAACTACTCCAGCTGACCATTTTGAGAAGTTGAGATAAAGTATGCAACGTTTACTTGAATAATGGATCATTTGATGCTAAGGTGTGAAAGTACTTTGAATCATTTAAATCAAAATCAATTTGGATGAATTGGATAGACCAATAAGACATACTCGTTAGTCCACCTGATCCATCTGTAAGACTGTAATGGATTGATCCATCAATGGGTCAGATTTGATTAAAACCAATTTGACGGTTCAGAGTCTTCGGACATTGAATTGGACCTGGTCCATAATTGGACTTATAAAGGACCAGGTCAGATTAGACCATATCCGATTTTAAGCCAATTTAGTAACCCAAAGCTTCGTCCAGGCTGGAGCTAGGTCGGGTAGGCCAGGTCCCAAGTGGGGATTTCTGAGCCCATAGTGTTCTGCTGCAACTACAAATGACGTTCAGCGCTTTAGGGGTTTTCTAGGGTTTTAGCCAAGATTAAAGACTGGATTTTGATTTTCGATTCTATGGCTGAGAAGCTCATGCAAAAGGTGGAAATGGAAGAACTCGAAGAAGAAGAAGAAGAAGTTGAAGATCAGCTCGAAGACTGGGATGATTGGAACTCGGACGAAGAAGATTCGGACAGAGGTTTTATCTGTTTGTTCTGCAATATGAAATACAGTTCGACCGAAACCCTGTTCGAGCATTGTAGTTCCACTCACCATTTTGACTTTCAGAGTATCAGGGAATCCTTGGGTTTAGATTTCTACGGTTGCTTCAAGCTCATCAACTACGTCAGGTCTCAGGTGGATATCTATGCAAATCGCTATCTGTTTTTTCTTTGCACTTCGATCGATTTGATTGAGAGAAAGTATTACTTTCATCATATAGATGGAATTTGTTAACCTGTTAAGAAGCGGATGTGCAATTCTTATGTTATTTGGGATTCGAGTATGCAGAGAAACTTTAACACTTAACCCTTTTCCGTCTATCAGGATTGTAGATTATTGACAAAATCTAAAATCTATGTTTCTTCATCAAGTAGTGAATAGAAACTAAAATGCATGTAGTTACTAATTCGTGTTCAGTTGTGCTCACAATGGTATCAATGATAATGAATGAAAGAAAGATGTGGTGCCTGATTAACTTTTGATAAGTAGAAACTTTTCAAAAAAAAAAAAAAAAGATAAGTGGAAGTGCTGGGGAAATTGATGCTTGGTTGTGGCCTCTCCGTGGAATGATGACAGATTAAAAATTCTGCGGAGTATTGGAAAATCTTTACTCTATTCAATTTTAAGTCTATTTGGTTTGTATCAGCCCATAAGGCAAGATATTTTTTTATAAAGATTAAATTATAATTTCTTTTTTTGCCTTCACTTTTATTTTCTTCTGGGAGAAAGGACGTTTTTATTAGCATTTGAGCCGGTATAAATGATATTACAAAGAAAAGGTTGATGAATGATGTTTTCTATCCCCCCTCCCCCTCTATTTCTGTTTTCAGGTGGCAGAAAATAGATGCTGGACTTGTGGGCTTACCTGCCAGTCTAACAAGGATCTACTGAATCATTTACATGAACCAGTCAGTTTGGGTGACAGCAAGAACTTTTGGCAAGATGATAAGTATCTTAAACCTTATATGCAAGAGGATTCACTGTTGCACAGTTTTGCAGAAGATGAAGATGGTGAAGATGATTGTACCACATCTGTTGATAGAGAGGAACTAATGAAAGAACTGGGGATCACACTAGACTTTGAAAATATCTGCATTGATGATGGGAATACTTTTGATTTGGTTTGTTCCAAACCTGATACCAATGATGAAAATGTACGGAAGGCTTCATCCTCTGCATCTAGTAGCCTTTTTAATGTTGGAGATCAGTTGGAGAAAGCTATGGTTGATCTTATTGAGACAAAAGACAATATTGGATTTACCCACAAAAGGCAAGAGGATAAACATAAAAGACTGCAATTTGCAGAAACTGTTGCAAAGAAAATCAAGAATGCCAACGAAAATTATTTTGGATCATATAGTTCTTTTGGCATCCATAGAGAGATGATCAGTGATAAGGTAATTGTTTATTTCTTTGGTAGAAGAGGAGTCATAATGCTGTGTATGCCATGCTAGAAAAGGTTGTTCCACAATCATAATACAGTAAGTGCTCATTTGATGTAGTTATGCAGGTAAGAATGGATGCTTATATGGGAGCAATCTTGAACAATCCTTCTCTTTTGAATGGTGCAACTATCTTAGATGTGGGTTGTGGCACTGGAATATTAAGGTGCAATTTCTCTTTTCCCTGGTTGTGAAAATAAAAAAAGAAACAAAAAACCACATATAGAATGCATAAAGTACTAGATGTTATAGTTCAGTCATTTCCCTATTTCTACTTGAATAGTGGTGGAACTTCTTTGGTTGAAGTTTGAAGCAGCTCATTACCAGTGGAGCTAGGTGTCAAGAATTAAACAAAAGTCTTCCCTCACTTGCCTACTTCGTCACAGAGCTTATTGTTGACAGTTGATATTTCTTATCAGATACTTGAAATGTTCAATAATCTGATTTGTTGCTGTTATTCTGTAAAATTTTATCTTCATTTTATTGAAAGTTTTTTTTATCAAAATAAAGAAGTAGAAAATATACATGCGTTGGAAAGCATAATTATCTAATCTCTTAGAGAACATCAAAATGTTATATTAATCTCATAAGATACATTATTGGTTATTTTATTGAAACTAAATACATATTCAATTAATATACAAGGTCTAAAACACTGAGAGTATGTAACTGATGTTTTTTTTGACAAGAAGGGAATACATCTCTCTGCAAGGGTCCAGGTGCCCATTTGGGAGGGCTCTTATATAGTGGCTTCTGGCTTTGTGAGGTGGGGCCAACCTGGAGAACCTATAAGCAATGGTTGGAGAAAAACCCTAGAAAGCCCAAAATGACTATCTTATGGCCAAAAATATAGCCTTCCACTGAAGCTTCTTTTGGTGGCTTCTTCAAAACAGCTCAGTGAAGGTAGCTCAGTCAAAGCTCTAGTCTCTTCCCAAATGGCCCCTACCTGCTGTCTAATAGCTGTAACTAGAATCCATGTAATTTACGAGGTCCAAAATTCTAAGAATATATCACAGAAATTTTGTTGATAAGAAATGCAGACACCTTCAGCAGCATTATGTTTTCTCTTTTTGCCTTTGTACATATTGTGAAAAGGAAGCAATACAACTGACTTGCTGAAGCACAAATACCTCTGTAACCTTTTTGATGTCTTGGTTTTAGGAGGCTAATTTGATTATAGTGCTTTATTTTTTTTAATCTAAATAATTAAAAAACCTGCCACAGTAGAGAGTTCTCTTTCTTTTTTTTGTTACCCTGATATGGTAAGGGCACCCCTAGACAATTTAATTTTTTTTATTGATTAAAAAAAAAGACACCCCTAGACAAGGTGTTGGAGAGATGTACTGTTCACTCAACCCTTTTCCGAGTAAGACACATTGTTCTCTCTTACTCGGTATATGAAATGCAATGTGGTCATTTCACTTGGCTGTTGACAGTCATCTAACGGTAGGGACCTGCTAGACACAAAATGAAAGTTACAGTCTACTTATGCATAAAGAGGCTGGAGATGGGACTTTTGCCCTCTATAAATTTGGCCGTATAGCAACTTTTTATTTCCAGTTGGTTAGAAAAGTTGAATGGGATTATATTCCTAAGTGTCTATTGTTTTACCTTTGAATACTGCTTATCTTGTTCTTATACCCAGTTGTTACTTTCTGTTTTGTAGTCTTTTTGCAGCCCAAGCAGGGGCATCAAGGGTTATCTCTGTAGAAGCCAGTCATAAGATGGCTTCCGTGGCCACTCAGGTGAATATTTCAGGTCTTCCATGCTTTTTCAAGCTTTTACCACAATACTACTCAATATTGTTTCAGTTTCTGAGTTCCACCTAATAGTTTGGGTGATTGCAGGTTGCAAAAGATAATGGTTTGTTATGGAATGGTAGCTTTACTGGAGGTAATAACCAGTGCACTGGGGTAATCAATGTGGTGCAAGGTATGATTGAAGAACTTGATGAATCCCTGAATATTCCACCCAACAGTGTCGATGTTCTGTTAAGTGAATGGATGGGATATTGCCTACTCTATGAATCAATGGTCAGCTCAGTGCTTTATGCAAGGGATCGATGGTTGAAGCCTGGTGGTGCCATTCTTCCAGACACTGCAACTATTGTGTGTTATCTAGTACTGCTTTTTTGTTCAAATCGTACTTGGGGTTTTATCTTGCCTAATTGACATATTTATTGTTTTGCCTCTTCATTTTATTTTTCCAGTTTGTAGCAGGGTTTGGAAGAGGTGGAACCAGTATTCCATTTTGGGAAAATGTATATGGTTTCAATATGTCTTGCATTGGCAAGGAAGTTGCACAGGATGCTGCCCAGCTTCCTGTTGTTGATGTAGTGGACAGCCATGATATAGTGACTAATGCTGTGGTTCTCCAGGTTAGTGTCATTCTCTAATTTATGGGATATATGGTATTTATTCACTGGCATTTTCACTAGTTCTTATATGGTTATCTGTCAAGGATTTTGGTTAACAAATTCTCCTATCGGATAGACTTAAAAACAAAAAGCAAGTGAAAAATAAATAAGACTATTTCAATAACAAGTCCAAAATATTAGTTTAATGCTCCTTGTGTTTTATCTACTCACCCTGTGTGATACATGTTGGACAAACCTGAAGCCGATCTGGCATCATCATCATTTTCTTCCATCTCTTTTCCTTTATAGCTTGATCTTTGCCATTGTAATTGTCACCATCATCATCATGTAGCAAATCCCAATATCTGAAATAAGTTTTGAATGACAAATTTTCTGATGATCATCAACATCTGAAGGTTATTTTCTGATATCCATGCTCCCCTCTTGGATTGATTGTTAGCTTATCTAGATTTAAAGATTTTATGTAGTCTCTTTCTAAATGGATCTCAACAAACTTATGTTTTCCCGTATGACCAACCTACATTTTGCCCCTTTGTTTTCTTGGGTTCGTTAATACTGACTATTATTTGTAGTTCTGTTGAACCCAAGTACCTAAGTCCCGAGGCAAAACAGATCCTACTAACCATGATGAGCCTCGAGTCTCTTGGAAACAAATTCAACACTAATTCATCAAAAAAAAAAAAAAGAAAACAAATTCAACACTAAGCTTGACATTTCACTTAGGAGTGGGTTGAATATCTCTACAACTTTCATCAGTTGGCGTAAAGTAACAAGTAACAACCCCCCTCTCTCCAGGAAGGCTATGAAGACAATGCGCTTGTTACAACTAATTTACTGTCCAATTACCCCATTGACCTGCCCTTCCCCAAATATACAGGTTTAGAAGGTACTAGTTAAATTGTCAATGGCTGGATTGATTATTGAGTACTTATGCAAAAGGCTATGATTAGTGGTGATTCTCTCTTTCCAAATTTTAATATGGATACCTCCTATCTCTTCATGTCACTTCCAGAAACAATTTTTTGATTTGAAAATAATGTCTGTCCATTTCTTGTTTCAGTCCTTTGATCTGGTAAACATGAAGCCTCAGGAGATGGACTTCACTGCTAGCGTCGAATTAGAACCAAAGTCAGGCCACCCTGGCGACAACCACACAGATTTGCAACCCAAGATAACCTGGTGTTATGGAGTTGTCTTGTGGTTTGAAACTGGTTTCACAAGCAGGTTCTGCAAAGAGGTGCCTACTGTTCTATCCACATCACCGTATTCTCCCGAAACGCACTGGTACCAAACCATCTTCACATTCCGAGAACCAATTGCAATGGCATCAGGAAAACCAGAATGCAATGGTATGGCAGAAATTGGCACTGAAACCTGCCCTGCCATGAAAATCCAATCACGTATAAGTATTGTCCGAGCTGAACAACATCGTTGCATTGACATATCATTGGAGACCGTGGGGATCTGTTGTGATGGTAGAAAACGGAGTTGGCCTGTTCAGATCTTTAGATTATAAAAGGATTTTCCTTGGTTCTACCAGTGAGTTGTTCCAGCTGGCAGTTTTCAATGTTTGCCCTGGTTATTTGTTTTGGAGTAATTGGGATTAAAGCACGGCTCAAATGAGTTGTGTCATTTCCCTATCCATGTTCATGTTTTGTTGTGTATCTAAACAAGTTACTCTTATTTAGGTTTGATTCCATTTCTGCTTTTTCCTTTTTTTACGGTGGGGTCATGAATTGCCATTTGGATTTTCGAAAGATCTGGACACACCATTGGATGGGTTACATATACAAACAAATAGAATGATCAGATAAACTTCAACCATTTAAGTAATTGTTCCAAATTTGGGAAAATTGGAGTAAGTATTCTCTGATCGAATAGCCTTGACATGTAATAATGCTATTCCATTGATTTATAAACATACCTTCGCTAATACCTTCAAAAGATTTTAAACACATCCACATACTTACCTCTTAAGGGTCTATTCTATATTTTCCAAAAATTTGATTAGGAGTAGAGATGCCTTTGATTAAAAAGTACTATGGTTTCTTTCCTTCAAGGCAATCCAACTCACTACAAAATGCATGGGATTCCACAAGATTTTGCCATTGTCGAAAAACCCCCAATCTCCATGAAGTCAATAACAACATAGCCATGTTCCTTCTACCCAATCTCCCAATCACTGAGGTTTTGCCCAAGTAAATTACTACGTACCTGCTGTCATGGTTTTCAAACCATTGTTGATCTAGATGGTCAGATTGTTTGGTCTGGGAATCGTCTAAGCAATTGGTTTCGTCCCAAATTTGGTCTTTGGCTAAATACTGTTGAATCCGTCAATGACCTATTGACTCAGATGGTCAAACCATTGACTTGTTTAACGGTTTTTGTCAGAATGGGCACTACGTTCGAACCAGATGGTTGAATTATCAACCCGACCGGTGGCCAGAATGGTTTCAATTCCGAGTCATTTTCTTAAACATTACTTGCAGTTGCAGGGGCTCACCCACTGAACACAGTTTTTGACCCCCTCCTTATCAGCTTTAATCCGAAATATAACAGTAAAGGCTTCACATAAAGACTGTTCAGTTTTCACCAAGCCAGCTATCAGTTTGAAAAAAGTATTCTCATTTTTCACCATTGCCAGGCTTAATACCCACAAGCCAATTAAATTTCGTTTCATTATACCTTTCCAAACACGGAACCCCAAGGAAAATGAGTTGCAGGTTACAATGGGTTCAACTAATGGATAGACAGGATACCAGAAAAACTTATAACCAATTAATCGGCATCAAAAGTAGTAACCAATCAGGTTGGTTTTCCCCAAGATTCATGGGGGATTTTGGTTGGGCAAATCATCTCTGGTATCATAGATTTTGATAGATAAGAGAGAAATTTCTTGGGGGAAAATTACACAAATTCGAGGAAAGGTCGAACAAGATTAGAATGGATATCAAGGGAGATTAAACATTCAAGAGAACAAACACAAAATTAGGCATTTTTAATTAAACTAGCATGGAGACTTATGAATTATGATCCAAAACAATAGATTTTGGGCAAGAATCTTCATAAAAAAATATGGGGGAGGTTTAAGTTTCTTAAATATGCAAATTAAGCCTAAAAATTGTTGGGGACGGAAAAGTATTGTTAATGAAATCCAAGGTCTAAAACAAGGTCTTATTAAACAAATTGCAAATGGAATAAAATATAATAATAGAAATATTATTAAAGTAATAATAAAATATTCATAAATTATTAATAAATACCAAGATGTTAATTATTAAATATTAATAAAATAATAATTATATATTCATAAATTAATAATAAAATAATAAATAGATTAATACAAAATTGAAGATTTCCAGTTGATTCCGATTCCAACTCCAAATGAACCCAACAACAATAGTCGTAATCTGTATAGTTGTAGGGCAATAATATCTTTATTTATGTTGATGTTAGCATACCATTTATGTAGCCGTTAGCATGTTAGTAGTGTCAGTTAGTTAGTTATTTTTGTTATTCTTTGGTTGCTGACAAGTTATTTTAGTAGGGGCAATATTGTAAGTTTGCTATGTTTTAAATCTTTAATATAAATACTTGAGCAGGGCGGCAATGCGCAAGTCAACCCACACTCTTCTTCGAATTCTTTTTCTTTTGATTTCTCTCTTTCTCTCTCTCTCCCCCCTCTTCTATTCTCAAATTTTTCTTGTTGAATTCTCATCTAGAGTATGACTGATCACAGTCTCTACTAGACAAGTTGGTATTAGAGCCAACTAGGGTTTCTCATGTGAGTCTAATCAGGTCAACTACATGAGAACTTCCTAGGGTTAGAAGTTATAGCAAGATTTGTCAATCGGTTGGTTCTTGGAGATCATTGGTAGAGTGCAACAGCTTTTCAGGAAATTATAGAGCCTTGGAAAGAGTCCAGTGATTAGGAAGAATGAGAGGGAAGGAAAGAAATCGAATATTAGGTTTCAAGCTGAGGATTGGAAGTGGCGACCAGTTATTTCTGGGGTAAGTTTCAGTTTTTTGTTAGATCGACACCAATTAGAAAATGATCAGAGTGATCTATTTATTTCTCCTTATCTTTTATAGGGTTTTCCTAAACCCACGATCAACTCTCTGTTTTAAACCCTATTAGTCTAATTGTGATTAGTTTCTAGGTACCCGTTGATTTAGTTTTAGCATTCCGGATTGGTTGGTAATGATTTTTTGAAGATTATTAGGCCTATTTCATAATTTTTGGATTTTTGCTAGACCTTTTTCAGCATTCCAAGTTGGTTGTTAGCAGTTTTAGGGTGTTAATTACCTTCGTTTCAGCATAAAAAATAATTATTTGTGATAAATTCTTGGTAGAGATGGTAGGAACTGAGTTAAAAGCTCAAGGGGAAGGTGTTTTGGGGGCTAGAAACATGACTGAAAATTCCTTTTAGATTACCACAATGAAATTTGATGGATCAAATTACTTGAAGTGGGCCCAATTAGCTATGATGGTTATTGGAGGTAGAGGGAAATTAGGCTATTTGCTGGGAAGTGTAAAGAAATTGCCAAGGAAGACCCATTATATGCCAAATGGGTTCAAAAGAACTATTTGGTCATGACTTGGCTGTGCAATCCCATGTAGCCTCATATTAGTCAAAATTACTTGTGGGCTAAAAATTTCAAGGAAATTTGGGACATCATGAGAGAGACCTATTCTCACCAACTTAATATTGCTAAGGCCTATGAACTGAAATGTGAAGTCAATAATCTCAAGTAGGGAGAGAAATCGGTTTCAGTTTACTTTTCTATTTTGAAGTCTTTGTGGCATGAAATTGATCACCTAGAAGCAATTGAGTGGGAAAGTCAAAAGGATGAATAGACATATAGAAAACATGTTGAAACCATAGAGTTTTTGAATTCATAGCTGGTCTAAATCCAAAATATGAAATTGTAAGGCAGCAACTTCTCACCAGGGAAAGTGTGACCTTGCCTCATGCATATTTCTTAGTGCATAGTGAAGTAAGTAGGAGAAAGGTTATGCTATAGTATCAACCTATGGAATCAGTCCTAGGAACAACAAAACTAGAGTTTGGGAGTGACAAGGAAAGGGATATGAAGAAAGAGGACAAGCGGAAGTGAGTTTGTGATCATTGCAAGAAATCAAAGCATACCAAGGACACATGTTGGAAGTTTTATCCACATTTAATTCCAACAAAGCTTAGAAACAAAAAGGGGAATGCCAATGTGACAATTATTATTGATGGTGTTTCATCCTCTAGCATAAGAAACACATCCTTAGACACCTTAGGTGTTGTCCAAGCTACCCTAACTTAGTTGGAAAGCAAAGTTGGCACTTCAACACCCTCATCTTAGCCATTGGCTACATCGGTTACTCTCACTTCTGCATTTTCTCATTCAGGTACAAAGGCTTCAACATATCATGCTTCATCCTCAGTTTGACCAATTTATCTCCATTGTTTAATACTTATTGCTTATCTTATGGTAGAGGCAAAGTGTCCATTGTTGATGGCTTCCTTGTTCTCATTTCTGGCAAATTAGAATGTCTGATGCCATCATCTCTTTGTCCTTAGTTTTGTATGTTCTTAAACTTAGTACTAACTTGCTTTTAGTTAATAGTACCACTAAAAATAAAAAATGTTTAGTGACTTTCTATACTGATCGATGTGTTTTTTAGGGTTTGGAGACAAAGAAGGTGATTGGGATTGGTTGTGAGACAAATGGAACTTACCAACTTAGAGAACATTCACATGGAGAACATAGAGAAGTGGAGAGGTCATTAGTTTCTCAGTCTATAAGCCAGGTTATGCTTTGGAATAATCAGTTAGGTCATTTGTATTTTAGGTATTTGAAGAGTTTATTTCCCAGTTTGTTTGAGTTACTTGAAATGCTTGGTTTAAAATGTGAAAGTTATGAACTAGCAAAGCACTGTAGAGCAACTTATTCTTCGAGCTATAAAAGAAGTAGTATTCCTTTTGAAATTGTGCATACTGATGTTTAGGGGCCATATCACATCACTGTTATGGGGGGATACAAATATTTTTTGTTGTTTGTTGATGATTACACTCATTGCTCATGGGTTTATCTTATGCGCTCTCGAGATGAGGTCCCTACCCTAACTCAGATTTTTCATTAGATGGTTTTTTCCCAATTTAGGGTCAAAATCAAAGCTTTTAAGGTTTGAAAATGCTAAATAGTACTTTGTGAAACCATTATCTTCATATCTCCATGACCATGGGGTTATCTATCAAAGCACTTGTCCCCATACACCTCAACAAAATGGGGTTGCTGAGAGGAAAAATAGGCATATAGTGGAGGTGGCTAGAAGTATTATGCTGACTTCCAATGTTCCCATACATTTTTGGGAAGATGCTATCCACATTGTTGTGTACCTCATCAATTGAGTTCCTTCACGGGTCCTTGATATGAGAACTCCATTTTACCTATTATATCCCAATAAGGACTTGTTTACCATTCCTCTTAAGACCTTTGGATGCATTTGTTTTGTTCAGATTCTTAAACCTCATCGCTCTAAATTTGATTCTAAAGCTTTAAAATGTATATTTCTTGGTTATGTACAAAATAAAAAAAGATATTACTACGATGAGCCTGTTTTTAGGAAATAGTTTGTTTCTATGAATGCCACATTTTTTTGAGGATGTACCCTATTATCATAGAGTTCCTTCTCAATGAGAAAATAGTGAGATGAGATCTCATTCATTAGAAATTCCATTACCTATTCCAACCACTAAAGGGGAGTGTAATGAGGAGGATTATCAAAGATGTCAAGAGTTGATGGTGTATCACATGCCAACTCCAATTCCCTATGTGGCTCTAGATTCAGGTACCATAGTTCATTTATCCCTCACTACAAATGAAATACCTTTCATGCCTCCCATTGTTGAGTCTTTTCCTCATTTGGATGATCTTCATCTTCCAATTGCAGTTTGTAAAGGGAAGCACCATTGTACCTCATCTACAACCCATTGTATTTCTTAGTTTTTGTCTTATATGATCATTTATCTCAATCATCTAAGTCTTTTTTTGGCATCTATTGCTGTTATTACCATTCCTAGTATAGTGTAGGAAACCTTGTCAGTACTTGAGTGGATGCAATTGATTGGATGTAAATGGGTGTTTGTAGTGAAACATAATGTTGATGGATCTATTGAAAAATATAAGGCCACATTAGTTGCAAAGGGGTTTACACTAGCATATGGAATAGACTATTAAAGAGACTTTTTGCACCAATATCCAAGATGAACATTATCACAGTTTTACTATCATTGCAGCAAATTTCTTATAGCAATTGTTTTAGATGGATTCCAAAAATGCCTTCCTCAATGGCGATTTGCAAGAGGAGGTGTATAGAGAGTTACCTCCTGGATTCTATAACATAAAAGCATGGAAGAAGGTATGTCAGATGAATAAAGCCTTATATGGATTGAAATAATCTCTTAAAGCATGGTTTGATAAATTTGGTATCATCCTTGAAAAATTCGGCTATGTATAGTCCTAGTTAGATCATACCCTTTTCATTAAGAAGATGGATTCCTCTTTGACCCTACTTGCTGTTTATGTGAATGATATTGTTGTGATAGGGAATGATACCCATGAGATTGGCTCTCTTAAGCAATCGTTTCACCAAGAGTTTGAAGTCAAAGATTTGAGAGCACTACAATATTTCTTGGGAATTGAAGTAGCACGGCCCAAACATAGGATTTTTGTCTCCCAAAGGAAGTATGTTCTCAATCTCTTAGAAGAAACTGAGAAGCTAGGTGTTAAACCTGTTGACACACCTATTGAACAAAATCATAGGATAAGTGCAGAAGGTGGAGAGCCCTTTGAAGACAAAGTTATGTTTCATTGATTGGTTGGGAAATTCTTTTATGTTTGCCTCACACAAATGAACATTTCTTATGCGGTTAGTGTTGTTAGTCAGTACATGCATTCCCCCAGAACCAATCACTTTCTTGTAGCTGAGAAGATTCTTGTTTATTTGAAGAAATGTCCAAGTAGATGCATACTCTTCAAAGATAATGGTCACATGAAAATAGAAATCTACACAGATGTTGATTGTGCTAGGTGTGTTATTGACAAGAGATCCACCTCTGAGTATTGTGCCTTATACGAGGAAATCTCGTTTCTTGGAGAAGTAAAAAATAGAATATTGTTGCTCATTCTAGTACTGAAGCTGAATTCAGATCTATGACTAGTGGTGTGGCTGAAGTCTTATGGTTAAGATCTCTATTTGAAGAACTAGGCATTGCTTATGAGAAGCCCCTAGTGCTGTACTGTGATACTCAGGCCGCTATTAATATTTCTCATAACCCCAGTTCAATATGACATAACTAAGCATATCGAAGTGGATCAACATTTTATTAGAGAGAAGGAGTTGCTTTTCAAGAAGACAGCTTGTTGATCTCTTCATTAAGGTAGTTTCAAAGACCAAGTTGGAGATAGATTTACACAAGTTGTGAATGATTGATATCTACTCCCAACTTGAGAGGGAGTGTAGAGTTATAGGGCAATAATATCTTTATTTATGCCAATATTAGCATACCATTTATGTAGCTGTTATCATGTTAGTAGTGTCAGTAAGTTGGTTATTTCTATTATTCTTTAGTTGCTGATAAGTTATGTTAGTAGGGGCAATATTGTAAGTTTTCTATGTTTTAAATCTTTAATATAACTAGCTTAGTGGGGCAGCAATGTGAAAGTCAACCCACACTCTTTGGTTCCAATTCCCATCTGTCATGGACTCTTGCTTAGTTTGAAAGGAGTATAGGATGCAAATAAGTAGAGAGCAAGCAAAAACCTTGTATTATGTATTATTTTAATATATTTATATTTGGATTCTTTCCAAACGGAGCCCTAATATTTTTCTTTTGTTTTTTTTAACAGATAGGTTGTGCCAAACGTTGTTTGATAAGCGACTTAATAAATAAATAAAATTTCAGGCTCGAACAGGGAAATGCTAATTCATTATTCGGAAATATTCTAATGTATCCATATCGAAGCTACATTTCTTAAAAATCGCCACTTCAGTAGTTGCTAATTTCCACGTGGGACTATACTTTGGAGGATTTGACAATATTGTTTAGACAAGTGGAGCATCACTGATCTCCCACGTCAACTGTCAGGGTCGTCAAACTCCAAACTTGCTTTGCCACGTCAACTGAGCTGGTGCTCGTTTATTTACGAGGAAGAGAGCAAAAATGTGAAACACAGACAAATGTTCTACTCTCTCGCCTTTCAAAGGTTCTCTCTCATGGCGCCCAAACCCCGTCGCCTCCATCCCCGTAACCTCTCTCTCTCTCTCTCTCTCTCTCTGCATCCATTTTGAGTATTCATGCCGAATAATGCACGCGTACTTGTTCATTCTCTTCAAATTTCGCCCATAATAGGTAGATCTAAGTCTCTCTTTCTCTGTGATTAGTTGCAGAGGCATCGTTACTAAACTCCGCCAAGAAGCCCAGGAAAATGTCGACGAGCTCTGCCATGAAGGAAGGTTTCGTGAAGTATGCGCAATATCTCAATGAATTTGTATGCTTCTTCATCTACTGTTATTACTACTCTTTTTTCTTTTAATTATGCTTTGCTTAGTATTTTGTTGGAAAACAAATATATTTTTACTTCTTTGGCTTAAATTTACAATTGATTAAATTAAGATATAATTTTATAAGAATTAGGGTTTATAAGCTGCTTTTTAGTCCTGCTGATAAAAATAAAAATGCTTCTTTTTGGTCCTGTCACCTTTAATCTCTTCGAAATTGGGATTCTATCATGCATTATTACATTCTTCAATTAAAGGGTAGCGTATAAAGACAAAGCAAAAACATCCACCAGTACTCAAAATATTAGCACCGCTCTCTGTGAAATTGAAAAAGACATGCAATGAGCAAACCATGTTCTTCTCCAACTGATTTCGCCCTATTTATGCAAGTGATATGCATTTTTGTACTCTACCAGAATTAGGATATAACTTCCAATAAGCGGAGCATATATTATTATGTGTCAAAGTATTGGCACAAGTAGAATTCCGTTTCTGAGTTTCTTCGTAGCTGTGGCCGTTAAGATTGCATTTGGTTTGATAGAAAATGAGAGAGAAACAGAAAGTTGAAGGAAAGTTATTTAAGTCTCAGTTTGGGAAGAGGGCGAATACGAATATGTTCAGTGCAAAACCTTGTATACTATATTTCTAAACCTTTGTATTCTCATCGTATAAATTTGTATTTGCACTCTTCCTAAACTAAGCCCAAGTATTTTTAGCTTCAGGGAAAACTGTAACACTAATCCCATTGCTGAACATGTATTGGTCTTAAGTCTTAAGCCCCTTGTGAATGCAAATGGGTCTTGTATCAAATATCATCCAGTTGAAGGAGATCATTCCCCTTGTGTCACTTAATTACTGATTGTCGCATATAATGATCCCTTTCCCCCAAGTAGAGGGGTTCTTAGTTAACTTTGTCTTTCCTTAGACCAGAAACATGGACAAATGCAATTTTAAGTCTCCTTGCATGTGAACTAACCAATTTCTAACACTTTGGATGGTTAAAGAACATATGCCACACACCTACTCATTGATATGCTGGCTATGGAGCCTTACTTTTTCTAGTCAGAATTATATGATCAATGGTTGTAAATCAATCAATTAGGTGACATTTACAGTTATCCAAATGATGTAGTTTTCTTTAAAAGTTAACAGCCCTAATGCCTTAACGTCTAGATATGTAAATCAGAGGAATTAAGCATAAATTCCTGATTAGTACTTTGTGAACCATCCAAAACTTCTTTGGAGAACTAAAATTGCTCTTGATGATGTGAAGTTTGTGTTTTACGGATATGACTGAATTTTTGACGGCTCAACATGCTGCCATGTTGTTTTGTTGGTGCCTTGAATTCCAATTGCAATCTCGGAGAAACCTGAAGGTAAATTTTTATAGTGGTCTGTGGTGGAAGCGGAGACAAGTGGAGAATATAGAGATTGTTAGTATCCAGACTCACAACATATTTGGATCTTGCAAGTATATTAGATCTCACAGCATAGCCAATGTTATGACTCATCTTGATCTCGCAGGACTTTGGACTCACTAGTCCTTCGGACTCGCAGAAGCCTGGTCTTGCAGGCTGATCTCACGGTAGCCTGATCTTGACAGTTTGTGGAGATCATTTTGATTTGTTTTTTTTTTTTTTCCATATAAATAGCCTTGTAACTTGCACAGAAAGTTACCTTGTATCTTGGGGTCCAAGAAAGAGAACAAGAGAGTGTGTGAGAAACAGGGGGGAGTGAACTTTGGTGTATTGGGAACTAGGGCTTTAGTGAGAGGTTATAAACACTGTAACTATAAATCTCCATTGCTGATTGGATTTCGTCTCCTTTGATGCATGTGGACATAGGCTATAAGCCGAACCACATAAATCTGTGTGTGCCTTGTGTGCTCTGTTTTGCGTTTTCTTTTTGTATTCTTTACTTGCCAAATGTTATCTTATTCTTGTGTTTGTTAGAACCCCAACACATGTCTAGCACATGGGTTGACTGAATTTGGTAGGACATGTTAAGGATAAAATTCCTTTGGCTTGATTTATGTTAATTTCTTATTTAGTGATATTGATGCCTATAGAACAAGGTTCAAAATTTCATCACGTATTGGCCTGTATCAGCCGATATGTATTGTTACACAAAATAGAGGTGTTTTGGGATTTTGAATTAGGGCAGACAGGCCTAAGACCTACCCTTACATGTTTTTTTTTTTTTTTAAATATAAAAGAGATGAAACTAAAATAGAGGTGGCACAAGGTTCAAAGTACTGATACACCCCTTGCACCATCTTGGGATGCATCGATATTGATACTTTGAAACTTGCTCTAGAGATTGCTAAGATAATGCAAAATGTACAAACTATTAATGGTTTTTGTTGGAGTTGGATGATAACTCTTCTAAAATATATGTCATTCAGGCTTTATCTGGATTGAACTCAGAAGTTGCATATATATATATATATATATATCTTTTGATTTTGTTGTTTATGTTTTAAGATACTGTTTTTGATCATATATGTTGCAGAATGACAAGAGGGAGAGAGTGGTGAAAGCAAGTCGTGACATCACCATTAACAGTAAAAAAGTTATTTTTCAGGTGCACAGGTAACTGAATGTTCTTCATTGCCTACAATATACTATGCTGTTAGTTAGATGTCACCATGATCCTTTGTATATCACTTTATTTATTTATTTGTCTGTCAGATGTCACCATGCCCAGATTACCATTAACTTGGTTATTTTTTATTTTCTTATTTGTATATCACTTTATTTATTTTTTTTCTATCATGCCCAGGCTACCATTAAATTGGTTGTTTTTTATTTTCTTATTTTTTCACTGTTATTCCATGCATCTTGCTACCACCTTGTTTATCTGGCACCCATTCTGTACTTCAAAATCCCTTTCTGTTGCCTCTCCTAGTTCCAGAAATCCAAAACTGTGTTTCTTCTCACAACTACTGCTTTGTTGTTTCCATTGAATCCATCTTGCTCCTCAAATACCTCTGCTTATTTGCACTATTTATGTTTTTTTTTGGATTGTCCTATAACAGGATCAGTAAAGATAATAAAGAAGAAGTTCTGGAAAAGGCAGAAAAGGATCTAGCTGCTGTTACTGATCAATATATGTCCCGGCTAGTAAAAGAATTGCAAGGAACTGATTTTTGGAAGCTCAGACGAGCATACTCTCCTGGGGTTGTATTTATGGATCCCTCTTAACTGTTAATCTAGAAGGGATACTTTCAAAGTCTCATATGCATTCTCTTGTATGATCATTGCAGGTACAGGAATATGTTGAAGCTGCAACTCTTTGTAAATTCTGCAAGACTGGGAAACTCTTGAATCTTGCTGAGATAAATGCTAATTTGCTACCACTGAGTGATCCATCTCAAGAGCCCTTGCAGATTAATGTCCTTGACTATCTGTTGGGGGTAATCTCCTGTCTTATTTGTTTACTTGTTTATCTTGCAAAATTTATTTACTTATTCAGTTTCCTTCTTTTTTTGGCTTATCACATGAGGAAACTCAAGATGCCAACTTGGTGGCCTGGATATGACTAGAAAAACTACACTAGGGATGTAAATGTTGTGTATGCAATTCAATGTTTTTTGATGCTTTCCATAGTGGAATTTTTTGTTGAGTAATAATGCTTTCCATAAAGATATACTACATTGTAGAAAACTACCATCTTATATTCCATTCTTATGCTCCAAAACCAATGAAACATTAACTTTTATTAATTTTTTATGATTGGAATTGAATTGATTTTTGTCCAAGACAACTCCTTTCTGGGGTTCATTGAATTTTTAGCACCATCTCTGCATCTGCAACCTCTGTTGTTGGTATACTATCTTCTTGCTCCACCAAATGGGGCTAGATTTGTTCTTCATGAATGAAATCCTCTTTTTGTAACTAAGAGTTGGACTGTTTCCATGTAAAAGATTCTCAAATCTTGTGGTTTAGCTTGCTGATTTGACAGGAGAGCTGATGAGACTAGCCATTGGTCGAATATCAGACGGTGAACTTGATTATGCAGAGAAGATATGCTCATTTGTTCGTGAGATCTACAGGGAGCTAACTCTGCTTGTCCCGAATATGGATGACAATGCTGAGATGAAGAAGAAAATGGAGACTATGCTTCAAAGTGTAGTGAAGATAGAAAATGGTATGGTACTGCTGTTTTCCTGTTCCAAAGTCGCTAAGACAAATGTATGTGATGTTTTCCTGTTTTCCTGGTCCAATGCAATTGATTACTTGTAAATATGGATAGAATTTATGTGCTTTTTTACTCAATGATGGATAGAAGACAAATATATATGCTTTTTTTACTCGGCGATATATGAATTGAGTTTACCTCAATTCTTGAGAAGTGGTAATCCACAACTTAGATTGCAAGTGTAGTATTTTGGAAGAAAGGAGCACAACTGAAATGCAAGGGATTAATGAAGTGTGATGTGCAAGAAGGCAAGGCACATGCTTGAATGAAATGTGGTGTCAATCTTGGGAAAAACTAACCACTTATTATTAAGAATATTTTATCCAAATTTGAAAAATGTTTTTAAAAGCTTATTAGCTGGTAGATTTATTACCATGGATGTTGTAATGTTGTAACACAAGTTAAACTGTTTAAACTCTATAAATTAGAGATAGAACCTAAAATATAGTAAATTAGCTAATGTCAACTTCAAGGTTAACTTATCAAAACATAATAGTGCTAGGTAAGGTGCACCCAAGAAAATGAGTCTTAGGCTCTTAGCTTGTGAACCCAGATGCACCTTTTAAAACATCAAGCAAGCACAGAGAGGAGAGTTTTCTATTATAGATCCCAATGGGTTGTCTAATTTTTTTCTTTTCACCATATGGCTCAGGTCTTAGCCTCTGAACCCTGTCTAATGTTTTTTTTTTTTTTTCACCCAAAAAAAGGTTGTCTAATGAGGTGGGACCAGGGGCATTCCCAGAACCAATTTGGTGCTTAGGGTGGGAGTTAGATTATGGGTGTGGCTTGGTGAATGTTCCAAGGATGCTTTGCCACTGTTGGGGAGTGAAACTCTTGGCAATCTAGGTTGGGGCTTTACATACTCTATGGTTGGCGTTACTGGTGGTCAGGTTTAAGAGGTATAGATGTCTCCAAGGTTGGCCATGGGTTTTAGTTTGGTTGGATGGCTCATTTTGCTTATGGTAGTGCATTAAGCCATATCTTTCAAGGGATGGGTAGACTTTACTCATCCATTTCAAGGGATGTCTCTGCTGGTGGTCAACGGATAGGGAGATTCTGAGCCATATAAGTTATTGGGGGTGATGCTATGAGGGAAGAGGAAGCTACAGGTTGAGAAGACACACATGGTTTGGTCCTAAGGTGGCATTTGTTACAAGTGAACTCTATCTCTGGGAAAGCAAGAAATTCTGGCTCTAGACTCCAAATATCCAAATTTGCTTTTTTTTTTTTTTGCTTTTGTACCCTCTAAATGCAGTTTGTTGAATATTTGAATCTTATAATATCTGAAAAGTGATTGTTTTACATATTTAACCCTATGAATTTATGAGTTATTTTTCTTGGCTGAAGAGAAAAAGAAGGAAAAATTGGGTAGAAAATTGTTTACTAGTAGCATTGGCTCCACTAAAAAATGAGAACCACAAGATAAATGGTGGTGTAAGAGAGAGGTAGGGTTTGGAGATAGATGGCGCAAATGGATTATGGGTTGTGTTAGGAATTGTCACAACTCTGTGCTGGTAAATGGAACAATGGTGGATATTTTTTCAAATTTAACAGGGACAAGACAAGGAGACCCACTCTCCTCCTTGTTTACCTTGATTGCTGATGTTTTAGGGAGATTGATTCATAGAGCAGATTCAAGGAACCTAGTAAGAGGTTGGAGACTAGGAGGGACGAGATACCACTTACCCACCTACAATTTGTGGATGACACAATCTTATTCTGTGAAGGGGGAATTTGGATTAGATAAGGAACTTGAAGATGGTGATACAACTCTTTGAGAAGATGCCCAAACTTAAGGTGAACTCTGAGAAGAGCTGTATAGTGAGTGAACTTTGAAGGGAGGGACCAAGGGAGTTGGGGGAGTGTGTAGATATTTTAGGATGTGCAGCGTCAAGCTGGCCTTTGACCTACTTAGGGCTACTCCTATGAGATGACCCCAAGAAAGGGAGTTTCTAGAATTTTGTGGTGGAAAGATTTGAGAAAAGACATGCCTCATGGAAGAAGAACTATCTTTCTCTTGGGGGGAGGATCACACTGATTAGGGCAACCCTAACCAACTTACCCATCTATTTTTTGTCAGTGTTCAAGGTTCTTGCAAAAGTTTCTAGTAGATTAGAAAAATTGATGAGGGACTTTCTGTGGGAGCTAAGAGAGGAGAAGAGGGACCATAGAATGGGTTGGGAGATAGTGACTAGAAGAAGCTAGGAGGGCTTGGAATTGGAAAAATTAGGAAAAGGAACATGGCTTTGTTGGGGAAGTGGTTGTGGAGGTTCTCTCGAGAGAAGGATATGCTGTGGGCCAAAGTAGTGGCTAAGCATTCATGGACTAGAAGACATTGGATGGGATCCTAGAATTTTGGCAAGGAATAGAAGTGCATCTCTGTGGAAAGCCATTCATGATTTGTTACCAAATTTCTCCCTTTGGATCAGGTATGATTTGAATTCAAGCAATCTTATAAAATTTTGGGAACAAACTTGGGTGGGGAATTCCCCCTTAAAGACCCAGTTTCCTTCTTTGTGTGTTCTCTCTGATTTGAAAAATGAGTCAATTTCATCCTTCCTAGTTCCTTCAAACTCGACTTCTGGTTTTGTGTGAAATCTAGGTCTAGGGCTATAAAGGATACAGAGCTAGATTTTTTTCTTTTTTTTGGAAATGGCAAGGTATTTTATTAAATCAAGAACCAGTACAAAGGAGCCTAGGCCATTAGAGGCTGCCTAGAGCCACCACAAATTACAGATACATCCAGTTCTGAGATCTAAACAACATACTCAAATTCTGATTTTTAAACACCTCCGTTGCCGACACCCAGGACAGAAGTTTACCCACAACTTTCTGCACCATTTCCTCTGAAGATTTAGCTTTGCCCTGAAAAATTCTGTTATTTCTTTCAATCCAGATAGTCCAAAGCACAGCAGCTGGGATAGTCTTCCAAACCAAGATACCTTTCTTGCCGAGACCCTCAATCTGCCAACACAACAGCAGATCCTTCACAGAATTTGGCATTGCCCAGCTGATTTCCAAAGCTTAAAGAAAATGCCTCCAAATATAATTCGAGACTGGGCAATGTAAGGACAGATGTTCAGTAGTTTATACTGCCCCACCACACAAGCTACATGACATGTCCGAAATCTGTATGCCACATTTCACTAGATTAACTTTGGATAGACATTTATTTAAAGCCATTGTCCAGAGCAAAAGCTTCACTTTAGAAGGACTGATTGAGTTCCAAATCTGCCTAGCTGGAAAGTTTCCCTGACCTGAACTTATCAACTTACTGAACATAGACTTTACAGAGAACGTGCCATCAGCTTCCCATTTCCATCTCCAAGCATCCTCCATGTTTGGGTCAATCCTCTGGTTATGGAGCAGGCCCAACAGATTTGCATACTCCTCAATTTCCCAGTCAAAGAGAYGCCTCYTACAAGYTAGGTTCCAACTGAAAGAGTTACCATCCACATTGAAATTCTCAGCCACCAAAGAATCCTGATTTATAGAAATTTGATACAAGAGACGAAAGGCATCTTTCAGACACACTTTAGAACACCAAGAGTCTTTCCAAAATTTAATTCTTCCCCATTTCCCAAGTTGTAACCGATTCCCTTCCTCAAATAAATTAGAGTTCTTCATTATACCTGTCCAAATGGAGCTTATCCCTCTTGAAATAGGAGAACTGGATCTCCAATCACCCCAATCCACTCCATATTTGTCCACAATCAGCTCCACCAAGCATTTCTTTCATTTGCAAATCTCCAAAGCCATTTACRCAGAAGGGCAGAATTGAATTTCTTCAATTTTCTTATTCCCAACCCTCTAACTTCCTTAGGAAGGCACACTTGATCCCAGTTTACAACATGAGCCTTCTTCTCCTCCTCCCAACTTCTCCAGAGAAAATTTTTCTGTAGTTGCTCCAATCTGTTAGCCACTTTGGAAGAAATAAAAGAGGGAGAGGAAGTAAGTAGGTAGATTAGAAAGAGTACTCTTAATCAAAATCACTCTCCCTCCGAAAGAAAGGTATTTAGCTTTCCAGGAAGCCTATTTTTCTCCATTCTTTCAACCACTGGATTCCAAATTTGAGAGGAAGGATATTTAGCTCCAAGAGGGAGCCCCAAGTACTTGACCGGAAGATGGGCAGTCTGACAAGCCATTAACTTCTGCACAAACTTCTAGATTTGTAACAAGACCTACAGGGATAATCTGAGATTTACTCAAATTAACCTTGAGGCCAGACACCACCTGAAACCAACTCAAAATTCCAAGCACCACCTCTAGTTGATTTGGAGAAGCATCAACAAAGCATAAGGTGTCATCAGAAAATTGAAGAATATTAACTTTTTCTTTTCCCAGAGCAATTGCAAAGCCCTCCCAAAGCCCATTCTCAGCAGCCTTCTTGCTAAAGAGAGATAAAATTTCCATGACGCAAATGAAGAGTAGGGGAGAGAGAGGGCACCTTGCCCATTAACTAAGATGGAGAACTTACGAGTCTTAACACAAACTCTGATCCAGTTTCTCCAAAGCTGCCCAAAATTCACTTTCTCCAAAACCAGATCCAAGCAGTGCCAGTTAACATGATCATAAGTATTTTCAATATCCAGTTTGCACAGAACACCTGGGGTCCCCTCTCTTCTTCTGGACTCCAGCAGTTCATTGGTTCTGCAATAAGAATTCAATGCTCTATCGGTTCTGCTCCCTCCTACCTTCTCTCCTACCCCTCACAATCCAGCTAGAACCTCATCCTCCTCCCCCTCTCCCTGTCTTCCACCAACCCCAAGTTCACTCAATTCCATCCAGTCCCTCCTCTTCTCCCCCTTCCTGATCCCACCCCTTAATTTTTTCTAGATATTCTTCCTTTTTCTTTTTTTTATTCATATTTATCAAATGCTATTTTTGTGAATTCTTCTCCTCCCCAAAAAACTAAACTGAGAGACTTTCCTATCTCGACCTCCCTCTCCACCAGTTTATTAATATTCACCTTCCCATTTTGAACTATTTCCTTGACTTCTTGGTCCTTTTGTATCTGTTCCACTCTCTCTCTCTCTCTCTCTATTCCTGTCCCCACCCTCTCTTTCCACTGATTTCTGGAGAGGTACACAGCTTATGACACCCTCCTTATCTGTACCGGATTGTGAACACAAAATCTTTTCAGCAACGGAACCGTCAACACTCACCTTGTAGGTGGAATTCCCCATTGAATTTGCAAAGCTTGTTCTCTTCCTCTTAATTCAGATGGCCTATGAAAAGAGGAAGAATTATGTGGAGATGCATAAGGGCTGCTGTTTGTTGGGCTTTGTGGGAAAAAAGAAACTCAAGAATATTCTTAAAAAAGGAGATAAGTGCTGAAATTTTAATAGAGCTAATCCATGTAAGGGTGGCTCAATGGCTGAAATCCTCAGATCTTTTCTCTAGTGTTACTTTGGATGATTTACTGAGCAATTGGAAAGAAGTAGCTAGTTCTGCCCAAGTTAAAAGGACTATAAATCCTTCATGGATACCTTTTTTTTTTGAAGGATAAAAGAAAATTCATTAAAACTGAAAAAAAGCAGTACAGCTCAGAGAAATGGTTGTCTAGTTGACAAACCAATATTGAACAAATTACACTGAGAAAGACTCAAAATTACAAGGATTTAACTCTAGAGTACTCCAGAAATTCTCTATCAGATCAGACTTGTTCACTTGGACAAACTCTGGAAGGCTGAGAACCCAGGCTGCAATTGAGTTGCTCATCCCTGCAACTCTGTATACCTTCCCCTACTGTCTTTATAAAACTGAACTTGGATGGTAGTAGTAGAGGGAATCCAGGACAATCAGGTATTGGGGGAGTCTTTAGGAATGAGGATGGGAATGTTTCAGCAATTTTCTCATGCCCAATTGGTGAAGGCAACTCTCTTAGGGCTGAGGTTTATGCTGCATTGGAAGGAATCCAAAGGGCAAAAGAAATGAACAAAAGGAGGCTTGTAATTGAGGGTGATTTGGAGGTGGCAGTAGGTTGGTTAAAAGAGGACAAGGCTGGTATGTGGAGTTACAGCAATGAAAGGAAAAAATTCAAATGGCTGGCCAAGGACATCGAGATAAAGTACAGCTAGGTGAAGACATCTGCTAACTCATTTGTAGATAGGTTAGCCAATCAAGCGGTGCTTAGGGATTCTTTGTTTTGGGCTGAATTTTAGTTCTGTTTTTCTGTTTTTCTTTTGGGGCCCCAGCCTCTTTGGGAGGAGTTAAGATGGTTTATCTCCCCTGTTGTTTTGAAATTAATGAAAGCTTCTTTATACTGGGACTTTACTCAGGGAGACTCTTTTAAGGCTGGACTTTTTGCAGTTTTACAAGGTGTTCATATTGCCAAAGACATGAATTTGGAGAACCTGGTGATTGAAGGGGACTCCAAGGTGGTGGTAGGTTGGCTACAAAATCCTTTCCAGACTCAGTGATTTGGTGTTATAGAAATGAAATGTAGAAGTTCCAGTGGTTAACTTAGCAGATGAATCTAAGTATACAATACGTGGGAAGGGAGGCAAATACATTGGCTGATGCTTTAGCAAAGCAAGGGGTAATTAGGGATCAGTTGTATTGGGCACAATTGTAATTACAGTGCTAGCTCTAAATTAATAGTGAGGTAGGGTTTAGGTAGGAATAAAAGACGTGGGCATTTTTGTCATAGAGTGAGGTCATTTTTGGAGCAAAAAGTTACAAAACATCTCTTAGCTCACTAATGAAAAATTATTATTTTTTGATACACTACTAACAAAAAATTATTAAAATATCAAAGGGGAGAATTACTTATGAAGGATAGGCATAAAAATTAATGCTGAATCTGCAAGGGTAAAAAAAAGAGAGAAAAGAAGAAAAAGATAAAGACGAACCAAAAGATCCACAGATAAGGAGATCTTCTGGGGATCATTCTCCAGCCTATCCCTTTCTTGCAAGTGCCTAAAATATTCTGTAGTTTTATCATGTCCATTAAGGGGAAGAAAAAATTCCTGCTTTTTTCTGAATTGAATCTTCTCAACCCAAGAGTTAACTCGCTTTTTAAGAAATTCCCCTTGCCATCATTGGCTGTTTCTCTTGCCTCAGCAGTTCCAACCAATTGTAATAAAATTTTAAGCTTCAATTCAATCATGTGAGCTATGGCTGAGAAGTTGAAGACATCAGCTGCTGTGCTTGGATCAATTGTTAATATCCTTTTTATCTCAAAAAAAATGTTAATATCCTTTCCTCCTCATGCCTAACAGTGAAACAGTGATAGACTACCAACATTTGAAGAATTTAGTATTATTATTTTTATTTTCAACGAGGTAATTTTTGAAAACTGTGCCATGCCTTTATTTGAAAATCTTGTTTTTCTAATCAAGTTCGATATTCTCTATAATTTTAGAGATTTTGTGGATCACAATTCCTCCTGAGAAATTTGATGTTTGTAAAGAAACTTAGCCTTGTATTTTGTTGCAACGTATACTAAAGCTTCACTTGTTTTTTTTTGGTAGAAGCTTCATTAACAAACTTTTTAGATGTCGTTTAAGTTTTATGTTTTCTGAGTTCCAGATAAATTCAATATAAACAAATAACTTCATCCGAGAATTTAGAATGATGTTCCAGTAATGGTGTTTGTGACTGCCTTTCGTTTTTGTAATTTTATCCACAAATTGAGCCCTTCGTTTTTTGTGTTGTTGCTGCAGCCTGCTTTAGTGTTCATGTGAGAGGATCAGAATATGTTCCTTTACTAGGATCCAGTGATCCAGGTTACTCTTTCTTGGGTGTGCCAGACGTTGAACTTTGAAGTAACTCCATCTGCCTCTCAAGAACTATATTAAGTTTCCTTTCTGAATTTTTTATTTGTTAGATGTCTCCTAGTATTACTCTTTCTTGCTCACACTTGCAGCTTTGACTCATGCGGAAACATCATGATAGAAGGGTTATTTGTTAAGCAATAGGTGATATTCTTGTTCTTTGCCAGAAAAAAATGGAGATTTAATCTAATAGCAAACAGAAGGAAAGATGGTAGTAGGTTTCAAGCATATGACAATATCCACAGAGGTTGGCTTTGGGTGGCGGGATGCAGCAGGAATGGAAGATGCATTTCTCTATTAACGTATTATTCATTCATTTACTAGTTAGCATCGTCTGGACATTTTCCAACTTTGGCGGAAAAAGGTTTGCATTTGGATCTTCCTGTTTGTAGTGTAAATTTCAGATGCACTTGCACAAATGCATGGGAGTGCAAATTTTGGTTCCCATTTGGTTGACTTAGCTTTATTTATTTGAGAGTTGTTAAGCCGGAAGTAAATGATGTGGCCCCCATCGTATATGTGAGAGAATGAAGAATGAAAGATGGGAAGGGATCACTTTTTAGGATATAAAATTTGCACCTCTGCAAATACTTGCGAAAGAGCAAAATTTACCTCACTACTGTGTAAATTGGTTTTAGCAAAAAAAAAAAAAATGTAAATTAGCACCACAACAAAAAAGTACTAATCCAAGCCAGTTTGTTCTCCTTTTGAGTTCATCTAAATTCTGATAAAGCTATCAGAAATCATATTATTGCACCCAGTCTTTTGGATATGCACTAGTATTTTAGAAATTCTGACGTGTGTTCCGACGACAGTTGCTAATTTCGTACTGCTTTGTATTCTATTAGGTTATGTTTGGTTTGACAAAAATAGAACATAAAGTTGAGGGAAGGTTCTTAACAGATTTTCTGAAAATTTTGCAGAAAATCTTGTCCTCAGCTTTCTGTTTCTCTCCTATTTTTTGAATAAAACCAAAGCAGTATGAACTACGAAATGTGAAGGCCGTAGCGATCTTGTTACGTTCCCATGTGGCTGTGGTGTGCTTGCCAGGAAATTAATTGCTCCCCAGCATTGCAAAGCAGTCCCTACATGGAAGCTAGCAAGCTGTGTTTGGTGAAGAGCTGACAAATGCTGTTGTTGAGCTGAGAGTTCTTTTTTTTGTTTTTTTTTTTTTTTGGCGGGGGGGGAGTGGGGGGTGAAATTTTGATGGCTTCTCCAAAGCCGCTCAGTCAACGCAGCTCCCCTCCAAACAAGCTCTAAGATGTCGGCATACATTGTTCGAACTCGCGTTTCACCTAAAATGTAGGCCGCCCTCAGAAATGTAGGCTGTTTATGGTATTTGGATTTGCTCTGATATTTTTTGGGCTTTCTGATAGAGTTAGGTGTTAAGTATTTACACCTCCCTTACCAACTGTCGGGTGGCTCAGTTGGTATGTTGGTTTGCTCCGGTATAGACACGGATATTGCCAAATAACTCTCTTGAATCAAATATTAAGAGTTTAAGGTTGCATTTGACATTCTTTATTTTAAGGACTTGTATCCTTTTTGGTGTTAAAAAGTCAGTGTTCATAGGGGCAATTTATCAGTAAAAAAAGAGATAAGTTCTTAAAATAAGGAATGCCAAATGTAGTTTAAGATCTCTTCGGCCAACTTATTAACTAATTCATCCATTCTAAATTGTGGTTAAGTTACTTTTTTTTTTTTAATGCCTGAAAGGAGTGGTTAAACTATTTATTCCACTCTCTCTTCCATTTAGTTAATAAGTTTATTATGTATGATTCTAGAGAGGTATGATACTGGAAGACCTCTGACCAATGAAACCTCCCCATGAATTTTAAACCATGAGTGGTTATAGGTTAATTACATATCATGGAAAAATCTATGATGCCGAAATGACATCCTGACTTTTAGAAAATTTGGTTCAGTTTCGAATCAGTTGTAAAGATGGGGAGGATTTTATTGGACAAAGGATTGGCTGAATTTGATGGCTTATTTACAGGCTGTGGGACCAATAATAACGTCCCATGCCAGCCAGAAATGTGAAGTGAAAGATTAAGTTTTCTATAATAATTTTTGTTTTTATTTGTTTTAAAAAATATTATTTAATTATGAAATCGTGGATTGATCTTTTTGACCCAAATAGTAAAATGGTTGAAGAAAAGTTTTATTTATTATACTTATTTTTGTTTAATATGATGAATGCATAAAATTAGAGATGTGTGATGTGTCTAAAGTTTTCTACAAAATTTCTTTTGTTTTATGTACTGTTAAATTTTTATTATTTAATTATAGTATCATGAGTTGATTCATTTGATCCAAATGGTCCGTTGAACTGCTTACCCACATAGAAAAAAAAAACAGTTTTGTTTCTAGGTTGATTTTAAAAATATAGTTTTTATACTATTATAATTATTGTCTATAAATTTAATTAGTGGAACTTCATAATGAAAAACAAAAATATTTTAAATATGAGATTTAATGAAAAGAAATTAAATAAATTGAAAAGTAGAATTCAAATTATGTTTTCTATCCTCATAATAGAGATGGAACAAATTTAAAAACAGGGGTATTTTAATCATAAAGAAGTATAAAAATCTAAGACCGTAAGACCTCATTATTTTCCACTTTTATGGGAGCATATTTAGAGTAGATGGATATAACATCAATGTCATAGAATGGCCAACATCTTTAATGTTTTTTTTTTTTTTCTTGAAGTAGTCCTTAGGCTAAACTCATTGCACCAAATCTTCTTCTAGTACAAGAATAAGAAAGTCAGGAGGTAAGGACCAAGTAATGATCCTACACATATGACAAGCAAATTTTGCAATTACATGGGCAGCCTTATTGCTTGTACGAGGGATAAAGGAGATTAAAACATAATGAAAGTCTTGCAAAAGATTCCTGCAATCAACAATAATTGTGTGAAGTCGCCAAGGGACATCTTGAGAGGCGTTCAATAGGATATCTGTTATATTTTGCGCATCTCCTTCAATGTGAATATGAGAGAGATAGAGTTCCTTTGTCATTTAGTGTCAAGTTCTGAAACCTCATGCCTCAGTAATGTTAGTGTAGAGAACAGTGATGTGGGCCCCATAGCTGTGGTCCCACTCTGTCCGTAGGGTAGAATGTATCTAGTCACA